AAAATATACCTTCAATAATGGGTCGCTCGAAAACGGCGAAGGAGGGGAACCCACGAGGATGCCGGCGGAGGCTTTTCATGCGAGGTGGAAGACCCTTGCACCTCCTCGAACATGGACGATCCTCAAATGAGAAAGCAAATATCAAAATATACCATCAAAGCCAATTAAGTATTAACAAAATATGAAGAATCTGCCTAAAGAGAAGAACATTGAGGGTCCAAATTTATCACATCTTAATTGAATCTCGAAAAACCTTGGAGAGCAATGATATATATATATATATATTATCCACTTCTCCCGTTATAAATAATTTGAAACACCATTTTCCATTAGTATGATTTCTTTGCAAGAAAAGCTAATAGAGGCATTATGCAGAAATAGGATCACTAAAATCCCCAACAATAGGGTGATCAATAGGAGCAAATATATATGATGGATCTAGATCAAAGATCTCATGGAAAGGAAGCTCTCTTACACCACAGTTGGCCTACGGTGTAGGGAGGGCATTGAATGTAAAAGGAGATCAACATTTTACTTACCAATTAGAGAAGCAGTAGTTAGACCTATAACCATTACATATGAAAATTGGAATTTACTATTGAGTCCTGCCATCTTGATGCTAGGGGATGTTCGCAACTTTGGGCATGCCTTGGAGAATCCACAGAAATTATAGCTAACAAATTTATAGCTAACAAATTTGCAAGAAGAAGAATAATATAATGTATAGCTTTTAAATTCTGCATTTTATCAATAGCCATGATCAGCGAAGAAGAAGGCAGGCTGGATGTTTTCGGCGAGGAAGGAATCTCCGACGGGCATAGGTGACGTCAGGAGTTAACTCGGCGAGACAGGCCGGCGAAAAGAGGAGGCTTGGACGAGGAGGCTTGGCCGGCCTCAAAGAAGAAGGAGGCCAAAAAAAGAGAATAAACCGGCGAAGGAGGCGCTCCGGCGGAGGAGGACACCCCCGATCTGGCCGGCTGGAGGGCCGGCTGGAGGCACGGACGGCCGACGAGGAGGAGGAACGGCCAAGGGAGAGGGAACTCCAACTGCCCCTTCGCGAAATCCGGCAAAAGGAGGCTGCGCGGACGGTGAGGAAGGCTAGAGATGTTATGCCGGCGAGTGGAATAAGTCCGGCGAGGGTGGCCGGCGACTCCAACGGCGAGGAGAGCTCGATTCGCGAAGGGGTTCGCGAATAGAGGGGGGGGCGCGGAG